CTTCCGATTTTCGTGAAAAACAACCGACCCCGTAAGTGCGTGCCGATGCGGACTGTCCGTTGAAAGTTTGAGAAAGCAGATTGGTCTGTTTTTACCGAGGCAACTGAGCTTGAATGTACATAATTTGATAAAATCTCGGTAGACCAAGTTACAGAACTGTTAAATGAGTTTAGTCTTCATGCAGCATCTCTTGCTATTCCTATGACTTCCACACATTTCCCTCGGAGATTTAAGCCGCGGTGGAATAAAACGTGTCCTGAATCGCGCAAAAGTAGAGCGTCGGATAGTTTTCGACGTTACCCCCCCCAAGCAGAGGAATTTCCTCGCGTTTCAACAAATGAAATCTCGGGCAAGATACATTCGCTGCCAATCAAAGGGAGATCATTTCCAGGGGTACGCTTCTTCGATTAATAGTACGGCAACACTAAAAGAAGTCTGGGATAAATATAATATGATCGAGGGACGATACCATGCTTTCACAGTCTCGCTTCTCTTCTACAATGGGGCCTGTCAAGAAAACCTAGAGAGGCAGGCCAATCTTCTTGGTCAGCATTTCGCTCGTGTACCAAACTCCGAAAACTTTTCCTCCGCATTTTTTAGATACAAAGAGCGAGTGGAAGCGCATGCCGTGAAGATTTCAGGTGGTGTTCGTGAGGCTTACAATCAACCCCTCGCACAGCACGACCTCGAAATGGTCCTTCGCTCAGCTAAGCCTACAACTTCTGAAGCTGATGGTATACACAACCGGATGCTTACGCACCTCATCCTTCTACACTACTCCTTATTCTGTACCTCTTTAATCGCATCTGGCAGGAGGGCAGATTTCCACTGGCATGGAAGATAGCCACGGTCATACCATTTCTGAAACCCGGAAAGAATGTCTCCTCTGCATCTAACTACCGCCCAAATGCCCTCACGAGCTGCCTAAGCAAGACATTTGAACGCATCATTATTAAAAGGCTCATGTTCTTTTCAGGAAAAACAAAACATTTTAGATAAGAATCGATGTGTGTTCCGTTTCTGCCATTACACAGTTCAGCATTTGGTGCGTCTTGAAACTACAATTCGTGAAGCGTTTGATAACAAACAACACTGCAGTGCATGCTGTGCAATATCATTCCAGCATTTGCTGAGCAGCAAGAAAACAATCTGTGCGACATACATGTACTTCGTTTTCTAGAGTGCTAGCGCAATCTGCAGTTGTGCGTGGCAGTGATGTGGAACTCGAAAGTGCCGTTAAATGCGAATGAATGGTAGTGACTCTACTGGCCGTTTTTTCTATATTGATTCTAAGTATAGCCACACTAATAAAAACATGCAGGGAAGCAAGTTTAGTGAGGATGCATGGCTGAAATGCTTGGCGGAGTACCCTTCCAGCAATTAAATTAGATATACTGTGTGACATTGTTACCTCATTGACACTTTTGGAATTTTAATCATGAAATGTAGTGACAAGAACCAATTTTTTATCACTTGGCTTGGTGCCCCGACGGAAACTTTTGCACTGCAGTAGTAGTTTTTTTGCTTTTGTAAAATATATATTGACAGATTAATGTCCGGTTGTGGGAAACAATCTTTTAAGAAGGTCTTTTCAACAAGCAGTAGTTAGGGATACTGAACCGAAATTTCGAGCTCACTAAACAAGGACGGGCGGATAGGCGGGAAGCTGCAAAACTAAAAAATATCACTCATGCGGCGATATATCTAACGGATCGCCGTATTTTTTGGAAAAGAAGTGTGCGATTGAACCCGGCCGACGAGGCCGACAAGACAAGGCACGTCACGATTCCCATTCTCTCTTCTCCTCGCTACGTCCCGTCAAGCTGGTGAACCGAAGCGAGGAGGAGAGAAGCGAGGCCGCTTCTCCTCATTCTCAAATTCTCCCGGAGGACAGTTACGTCAAAGAACTCTCTTGATCGCGCCCTTCTTTTCCAAAAGTAGGGCCATCCGTTTGAGATATCGATGTACGAGTGATGTTTTGGGGTTCGTAGCGTCCCGTTCAACACTTCTACAGCCTTACTTTGCGAAATCCAAATTTCGATGCAGTATCTCTTTAATGTTTTAAAGGTGTACTCAGCCTTCTCTTCATGGGTGAAAGTGCATATGGCCATGGATGAGCATTATTTTTTGTCTTGTTCTGTGATGGTATATTTCTTTTTATATTAGTGATATGGGGAAACGCGTTTATGTAGACAGGTGGCAAAATTCAGAGGGTTAACGAACAGAACTTAAGGGTGCTAGTGAGCTAGTGTATACTGAACATTTTGAAACGACCCAAGCCTGAGGAAATACGAAAGTTGACACCAAGAGAAGAAAAGGAGGACGTCTTAAACGTTGTCCTCCCCTTCCCTTAGTGTCAACTTTCGTATTTCCTGAATCACTGGTTGGTTCAATATGTCAGAGGGATATTTGTTTTTATTGGACAACGTGCAGTAATGTGCAAAAGAGTTAATTTCAATTTCACGTGTGTGTTTTTAGATTGTATTTCTGGTTTATTATTTGCAAAACAATCTTTTTGTTTCATTTTTTATTCAATTCATTCATTATTTAATCTCCAAGGGACCGAACAGTACAATCCCCTGCAATATAAAACCCACTGAGAGCGCGTTGCCGAGCCTGTGGCTAGCGGGGACGCTGCGAGCGCTCAAGGCAGTTCCACTCAACTTCGAGGGGAGGACGCTCACTCGGGGCTCAGCTAAAGCGCGACGCGCTAATCAGTTTTTGATTTCAGTTTTAAGCGTCTTCCCCCGGGGTGCTCGCAGCGCCCCCGCAAGCCAACACCTCAGCCACGCGCCCCCAGTGGGTCTTTCGTGTTGCAGGGGACTGTGCATTACAGCAGGGTACGTACAAGACACATATTGCATATGAAACGTTGACATAAATAAACAAAATCCCTCATCAATGCAGGTAAAAAATATATTCTGACGAACCAACGTGACGGTGCGTCCACTTCATCTTCTTGCATTACCATCAAGATTGAGGTCGCGTGCTAACGCGGATCATTCGATATGATTATAATACAGTTAGATTAAAAGCTGCAAGTGAGCTGGACAAGAATGACGAAAATAATTTTTGGAGAAGGAGAGTAAGGGGGACAGAGGACAAACATAAATCTCCAAACACAGCTAAGTGACTCGTGCGCGACCGAAAAAATCCGCCTAATGCTGGCATAGAACCCGGGACCTCTCCACTTACAGTGGAGCGCTCTACCAACTGAGCTAATCAGGGGTTAGACGTCAGTAGGGCAAACGGACTTTATCAACTGCCACCAGTCTAACACCAAGAAAAAGGAACAACTTGCATTTTATGGTTATGATTATAATGCAATTAAATGCGAAAGTGCAAGCGAGCTGGACAAGAATAACGAAAATAATCTCTGGAGAAGGGGAACAAGTGGGTCAAAGGACAAACACAAATCTCCAAACACAGCTTGATGACTGGCGCGCAACCGAGAGATACACTTGGTCCTGGTATCAAACCAGGGGCTTCTCCATTTCATTTGGAGCGCCAGTGTTTGGAGATTTGTGTTTGTCCTTTGTCTCCCTTGTTCCCTTGTTCCCCTTCTCCAGGGATTATTTTCCTCATTCGATGTTGCATCTTGAAAATCAACGGTCATAAAACTTCGGTCTTCTGTTTTCGTTACATTATATAAATCTGGAACGTTGGCGTGTACAACCTCAAAAAAAAAAAACACACACAAAAAAGTTAAAATTGTTTTGTATGTAGACAAAATGGAAGCCAATGTGAGAAAATTTGATTAATTACACAACAATTTGAGATAGCACGGCATTTATCAAAAGAGCGGGGACACTGACGCATTATATATTATCCGGGAAAGTATATCATTGTTAAATGGCAAAAGGAAGGAATGGGAGATGGGTTACAAATGGAGATTTAGTAGAAAGTATTGTCTGATTTGAAGGGGGTGGTAACAGGTGTTATGGAAAAGACAGGGCTATATTTTGCGGCAAGTGCCGGGAACTGGAAAGCAGAAGGTACCTTCATAACCGAAATCCTGGCAGTCCGTTAAAAAAAAAAAAAAGAGAAAAAAGAGAAGTTTAATGCTCTAAAAATCTGCAACGTGAACAATATTGCAGTCATGTCTTCTTCATATATCCCCTAAATATGAACACCCTTATATATAAATAAATTATTGGGGACCCATCGTTACCCATATAATCCTGTCTCGCTAATAGGGAAACCCACATTACGGACTATAGACCGGCAGCTTGGAAACGAACTGGGCGAACTCATGCTTTTTCGTCTCGCTATTGTTGCCCCAGTCTTTCTGAAGTCGGTTAACAAACGCAAAATACAACGATTTGTGAACCGTTTGAGTTATGAAAGACTCCTAGGTCTTCACTAATTTCTGTTGTTGGTTGCTCTTCCTGAGAAAATAAGGATACGAGACGTTCACATTTTTCTAATTTCCCGCCATATTGATTACTTGCCCATCTTTTCCTGCCTGTCACGACCAAAGATGGGAAACCTAAAGGACATTCAGAGGTCGTGTGTAACAAGGCAGGACATTTCCGTCACCACTTAGAAAAACTGTACTTGAGGCGTGAAGGGGAAGCTTCCAGAGGCCATGGCATGAAGGCTTTTGCGGCCATGCTTGTTATTTGTGTGTTGTGGTCTTGACTTTGGCGCTATATTATGGACGACTCACATTATGGGAAATATGTAGGGGTAACAAAAGTGTTGGTAATAGCAAGACATAACTGTGGGAATATATTTGGTGTTGCATCCCTGACTTTTTGTGTTCGCATTTTATAGTTTAGAAATATTTTTTATTGTATGTGGAAAGCTCCTGCTTGATCAAACATAATTACAATTTATCCGACTTTATGAAAGTGAGCTTATCAAAGTAATAAACGGGTCATCGTTTTAAAATAGATTTCTAAAGCAACACACCAGAAATCCTAACCAACATTTAAAATATACACATTTTCTGGGATTACCTACATGCAGATGAAGGTCAGTACGTTTTCTTACACGGCAGTGCCCTGAAAGCTCCACAATTTCTAAAACCGCAAGTTTTTTTCAAGAAACGAAGGGTGTGTCAAGGTTTGTTCGCTTCAGAGTGATTCGGTACAACGCCTGCACTTTGGGCCAAGCTGCTGAACATCGACGCGGGGTTGGAGAGAAGTTGCGTGACTGATCCGTACTCCAGGACGCTGCCGTCACTCATTACCAGAATTCTGAAAAGAAGGGAAAGACTTAGAAAGAACCCCAAAAGAAAGAAACAGTGTCCCACACACGAAAGAATAAACAAATAGAACTTAGCACCGAACACGACATCCTTCAACCAGCAGCTAGTTGTGTTTTGGTCTCCGTCCTATTTGTTTATTATTTCGTGTGTAAAATTGAGCCTTACCAACACGCTCGATTTTTAAGTAAGGATAAATTGTCTACCAATAGCAACTTTCGATGAATCATTATATCTGGAGAATAAATAATTAAAGAACACTACGCGGCTGTGAACTCATGCCGCCGCGGTGGCGCTGCTGTACGGACAGCGCTAAGGCCCCTAGCGCAAGGGCGGATGCTTCACCTATTGTCAACCTGTTTTCTGTAGAAGCATTTTGCCCACACCTAGTGTGGATAAACGCGGGTTTGTTTGCAAGTAGCCCGTTGGCCTCTAAGAGAGCTTCTAACCAGTACTTCTTGGTTCCGGCTTGTGCTACTACAGTACACCCGGCTAACTTAATTATGAAGCTCAAATCCAGGATAAGAATATAATTTGTTTTTCTTGTGTACAGGCTTCCCCAATGTGGTAGGCTCTACAATCAATGTGGACAAGGGTTTAGCGTTGCCGACATTGATTGGAAAAAATAATAAATGAATATTTGCTTTCTACCCTTTCCAAAAAGAGTGCCTCTCGCTAATTATTTTAGACAAGTCAACTAGCGAGGCAAATAGGCCTTTCGTGTTGTGGGAAACTGTACATTTCCTTTAAAAGTTTCATACAACTGTGTGTATCAGACATGAAGGTTGGCCAAACTATTAGCAGTAACAGGTCTGTCCTCACTTGTCGTAGTCGAGCACGGTGTGGATTCGGTGTGCGATGGCCAGCACCGTGCAGTGCATAAAGTTTTCTCGAAGCGTGGCCTGAATCAGGCGGTCGGTGTCGCCATCCATCTGCGACGTGGCTTCGTCCAGGATCAGAACTTGCGGCATTCGAATCAGGGCACGGGCGAGACACACGAGCTGCCTCTGACCCACGCTGCAACGACGAGGATAGCTTAACGTAAATTTCTAAAGCAAGGACACGAGCCGAGTCGAAAGGGGGCTTAAAGGGCAACTCCACTCAAAAAGTCGACCCTATCGAAATGACTGATACCGCTTTAGGAGGTCAAAATACGGTCATACCCAAAATATCACGTCAAACCGACGCCGCGTTACCGATTAAAACCAATATTAAAAATGTTCTCCCGGCTTGATTAGCGGCCCGAAAGCGGGTGAGCAACGCTGGCACCGGGTGAGCTAGTGAAGCAACACTGGACAATGACGTAGGTCTGGTCCTACGCTCTCGTACGGACACCGCGAACGCTTCATTTCTTGTGGCATTCTGCGATTCTGCTGACGGAACGAGGTGTTTACCACATTATCCTGTGTTCTCCTACTTTTATTAGCGTCCAGGCAGTTCCTTTAACTCCAGCATTGCTACCGCGACAGCGAGGAAGAGAGCGAAGCAGTGCTGCTCGCTCACGCGCGCGTCGTGGAGCCGGAGCGACTCGCCGGGCTCGCGTTGGGCAATGTCGAGCATGACTTGTAGTGCTGTGGGTTGCACCAACAAACCGGTGCGCAACCCGTAGCTGCGGTTCCACCAGTTCCCAAGAGACCGGAAGAGGCACAAGGTGTGGGTCGGTGCCGTTCGCCGGATAGACTTCGGAAGACCGTTGACTCCGAGCTCCAACGCGAAGCTCTGCTCCCAGCACTTTACATCAGACACCTACACGCGGGATCTGCGGCTGCTGACTGTTGCGGGTTTCTCCACGAAACATGCGTCTTTGAAAAACGATGCGGTGCCGTCGCTGTTCGCGTACCGCCCGCCGGCTGCTCCAGCGCGATCGGCCGGACGCAGCAGGTCGCGACTGATCTAACTAGCGTGCACATAAAGGCACCTTGGCTTTAACAACTTAGACCACTTGTGGATACATCTGTCCATCTATCTCCTATTATTTCGTTTTCTCTCGGTCCGCGAGCAAGAAACAAATACAGTCACGCTGCGCCGGCACCGACCGCGCGTCATATTTCTAGCAGTCGGATTTGCTTTTCGGTCGGCAAATTTATAAATACACACTAAAACTTACTACATTTGGTGCATATTAACAAAGTGAAGCGGTAAAAAAAGAAAATGTGCATCTAGCTTTCTGTTTTGAAACTCCACGTGCGACTGAGCCGACATTGCCGGTGCGTCGGCGCGTCGCGGGACGACGACGCGCCACTAGTATCAGTGTTGCCAAGCTGCTTCAGTCGGTAGTTTCGGTTACGCCGTGCCGCCGGAACGATACTTGGATTCGCGATATCTACAAAACTATACACACTACCGAAAAACAAATTATATGTCGTGATTCAGGGTCGCCGGCTTCGACTAAACAGATCATAAACCAAAAATTGTAAAATTGGAGTGGAGTTGCCCTTTAAGGGGACGCCACCACTCGTGCTTGATGTTCCCTTGACTCAGTAAATTTTATTCTACTAAGTACCGAATTTACTCGAGTAAACGATAGACTACTTATGCACAAGGCCCTTGCGTCTTCATTGCTGTAGAACACACACACAGTCAGTCATCGTGCTCTGCATCAGGAGTGTGCGAAATAAAGAAGGTCGAGAAGACGATTCTTCGTAAATATGATATGCGCAAACAGGACTTTCGAGTAAAGACGTTAACGTTTTCTGCCGTAAATCGCTGGCATCATTGTGTCGATCCCGACGATTTCTTATCTCCATGTCCCGTGGGAAAGCGGATCCACAGACTTTGTTAATGAACAATGCGTCTATTAACTTGGGAAACACGGTAACATTATGAGTAAGGATTATCTTATTTTTATACCGAATGTGTTTGTGCATGGAATTATCTGGTTTTGGCGATACACGCTACGTTGTTTGACAATTGACCATGTCCTCTAAATATTGCAAGAAAGAAAAATTTAAACACAAGAGCATCATTGAGACTGGTGTTTACAATGCACGCTGTTCAACATAAACATTTACACATTAAAAAGATAACAATCGGAGGTATTTCAAATTTGTTTTAGCACCCAGGTTAGGGTCCTAGTCAGACACTACGTGCAACAATATTCGTGGATGTAAATTCCGTTGAGTTATTTTTATTATTATTGAGCTCTTTATTTTTATAACAGTATTTGTTTATATTCAAAACCTTAAAATTGTCGTATTCTAATCTTGTTTCGTATTGTAAAAGTCTCGTAACTATCTGCTTTTCCGAAATACACGTTCCCGAATCTACAACTTCACCCTGCAAATGACGCATACTAAATCGTGAAAATCGGCGCAAAAGCCCTTGCCGGTTTGACGCAGATCGTTTCGTATGTCGTTCCGTACAACAACGGGCAGAGATGATCAGAATAGACTACTTCCATAAATCCCTGCATGCAACACGGCGCGCGTTGCACTCTGGGAACTAGTTGACCAGGGAGGAGAGTGGCATGGTTTCGGTTTCGATCGACATCTCGACAAGACATTACACACAGAGCGTGGACTATTAACGGCCATTATCTCATGTTTTCTGGTCCCGGAGCGTCATTTGTGGTCTCTAAACTAACCTAATTGGCCAAACCTCAAAGTTTTAGCACAAGCGCGAGACGTATAACTTGTCTTAACACATGCTTGTTGTATTTTTGTACTTGAGCCTTTCTGTTAGCGTTTCGAGGTATGTGGACGAGCCAGTGCTGGAAATGTCGACGCTGCGAAGCTCGGGGATCTTGCTTATGTACGAATCAACAAGCTGTAGCAACCAATAAGTATGCATACATCGAGCTCGCGCCTTTACATTAGTGTTGCTGATCAGGAAGTTTGTTGGTTTTGTGCATGCATAGACGAAATATTACTTTTTGCAATTACTGTTTTCTTAATACGCCTGTGTACGCGAGGTAAAGCTCGGAGGCGCCATTGAAAAGCTCAATTGCAAAACACTTCTAATCTCTTATCTGTACTGACCCGCAGCACTGCACGAAGCGAAGTCCCCACCCACTTGCATTTTATTAATCTTGAACATCGCGTATGCGCGTAAAGTTATCCTGCCAATCATATAGGCACATTCGCACATACAAATCGTTTTAAGAAAGCAAAAGTCGAGCACTTGTGTGAAAAATGTCGCACCATTTGCCAGAAGTACGCCGAACGGGCATCAACCCCTATGCGGTGCGCCAAACGAACAAAATTATTCAAAGTGCATTTGACGGTTGCTAATGGCCAAAATATTTGTTATGTGTTTGCTTTCTTCCTGCCTGAGTATGCCGAGATCATTTCAGACACACCGTTCAGGCACAGATCTTGGGCATCAGTAAAAGCTCGTCCAAAAAGGCTTAGGAGTAGGGGGCGCTTGTTAGGGCCTCGGTCGTAGCTAGCCGATCTCAGCGTTTGCGAAAACTTAATCTTCTATCAGCATAAAATTTGAGTGGGAGATATATGATGACACGAGGAAGACATCATAGTAACTTTGGTATAGTAGTGAGATCGAATTTATTACGTTTCCTTAAAAGTTCATGCGTCAACGCTGGGCTCAACTTTGATACTCCTGTGAGGATGCGGCTTGCTTTTTGCCCAATGAAGTGACAAGAAGGTGACGTTTGGCAAACAAAATACGTGTAATGCTCCAGGTGACCGAATTTCACTTGTAGTTCACTGGCACTAGACGGGATTATTGAAATTGAACTCAAAGGTGAGGTAACTAAGCCGTGTCTTACAATGTTTGCATATGCACCCATAATATGCGGTGTTTCGGGAACCAAGGATAGTGCCCCGGCCTTCGTTTTGTATCGCTCGAGAATGAGTGTATTGCACATTCGTAAAAAAGTCAGATAATCGAAAACGCAAGCAGCGTGTTCGGTCGCGGCGTGATTGAATGAGATGAATCTGCTTAGTCGAAACCGAAACTGAGTGGCCAACTAGTTCTCAGAGTGCACTGCGTGGTACTTCGCCGCAATGGGGCGAGTCGGTTTTGGAAGAAGTTCATTCATCTCCCGATCTCGGCTGGCGAAAAACTGTTATCAGCTCCGCTCCGTTGTCATACAGAATGTGAAACGAAACGACCTACGTCAGGGTTTTGGCTCCGGGTTTAGTTGATACGACTATCTTTATCTTTCTATTACGAGCAAATGCGCTAAACGCAGTAATGAAAAAGCACATTAATAAATCTTCCATAACTAAAAAAATGTACAGCTATGATTATCCTTGCACTCAGTGTCCCCCTGCGAGCCTAAACTAGGTGCAAAAGCGGATTTCGCGCTCACTCCGGAGTTTTCTTTTTTCAAATTTTCTCTCGAAGATTGTAAAAATAATTTGAAACATTTTCACATGGATTACCGGAACGCGTGTTGTGGAAAAGGTTAAATGGGATTTCATGTGAGACACTAGCAAAGAGAAACCGAACATAAACGTACTTTGCGATTCCTCGCCTTTACCCAGTTAACACCACCTAGAATAATCAAAGCCGTACATTAGAATGTTGACGTCATCGTCGTGAGATGGAGTGAATACAGAGATTTGACACGATATACTGCGTCAGTGTTTGACTGGTCCTCGCGTCCTATCAACTCGGCGAAGGGCGCTCGACGTCAGGCTCGGGTCCTATTGCGAAGTTCGCCCCATCAGACTGTGATGAATTTCGTTGAATGAAGAAGAGCATATTTGCAGGCCTTAATTATTCTAGGTGTGCTGACCGCGTCATAAATTATAATCATTATAAAATAAAATCCAAAACTTGAAAGTATAAAACAGCGAGGACGAGGACGGGAACAGGAAATATGTCATGTTCCCGTCCTCGTCCTCGCTGTTTCATACTTTCAAGTTTTGTATCTATTAACCAACACGCTCGTTTTCAATTGTAAAATAAAATGCTTTTGCGTGTATTAAAGTAAGTGCAACATAAATTCAGTTTAACCTCAGGTTGCTTCCTCCCTCTCCCGTCTCGAAAAGGAGCTGCTCAGGATGCATCGAAACGACGTGTCCCAAGTGCGCCTGGTCCAGGGCACGCCAGAGTTCTTCGTCCGTGTGTGACCTCGTCGGGTCGAGGTTGTCCCTCAGGCTTCCCCGGACCAGGATGGGGTCCTGCAAAGATGGAAGCCGAAATTAAAAAAAAAGAAGAAAACGAACGAATAATGCTCATATATTAAAACTGTCACAAGAAAACAAATATCTCGAAGGACTCAATAGACGATCTACGAAACTGCTTGGTGGTCTGTCAGCACTGTGTGCGCAGCCATCTTGGTAGCGTCAAGTTTCTTGAGTTTCGGCTCCCCATAGTATCCTCGATCATCCGGACCGGTGCGCACCGAGGCGCAGAGGTGCGCCCCGTCGTCTTTGATCAAGTGCACCGTTGTGCACTGGACGTCCTCGATCATCGGAGCACACCCTCCCGGTTCGGCTTTTCGTTGTCCCAACGCGCACCAAGACAGTCGACGGTGCGCGGGGTTGAATCCCATCGGGAATTGAGGCCAGGAGCGAAAATCGAGGAGATGGCGGGAATAGCAGACGTGCAGTCGATCGAGATGGCGAACTTGAGAAAACGAATATTCTTCGCAGCTGCACAGAATGAGTTCTGGAGCTCTTCTGACAACGAGGACGACGCGCTTCTTACCATCACTGCGATTACCGGTGACTGCTGGGGTGGCAAGGAGCGCTGAAAAGTTATGAACTTCGTAGAAAACGTTGTGAGGCGTTTGGATGGCGCCGAAGTGCGGCTGTTATATAGTAGTGCACTTCCTTGAACCTACAATGATGATGATGGGCAAAGTATACCTGTAGAAGTATCACCCGCTTCGTGACCTCATCGAAAATCATGTTTACGATGTTCATATGTGTGGCACTGCTAAATCTGCAAATAAAAAGCCAGGAGAAATTGATAGGAGACGGGCACCGCGCGCGGACGTACGCAAGAAAAGAAACGAACAAAACGCGAGTTGACCGAAGATGCCATCAGCATTTCCGGGGCAGAGACGGTCTGCCGCCAATGGTAATTCAGCAACTTTATTTGTCTTTAGAGCCCAGCTCTTAGGCGCCCGTTTCCGGCTTGAGCGGCGTCACCGGCGCCGTCGCCATCGGCGTCGGTGTCGGCGTCGGCGACGGCGTCGGCGTAACCGCGCGTTGCATTATGAGACGTTTCCCATAATGCAACGCACGCCTTCACGAGTGACGTCACGACGTTCCGCATAATGTGACGTTTCCCATGATGCGACAGTCACATCTTCCATAATTCAACGCGCGTTGCATTATGGGACGTTTCCCATAATGCAACGCGCGGCTTCACGAGTGACGTCGCGATGTTTCCCATAATGTGACGTTTTCCATAATGCGACATTGACGTTTCCCATAACGCAACGCGCGGCTTCACGAGTGACGTCACGACGTTTCCCATAATGAGAAAAGTGACGTTTTCAATGCAACGTGCGGCTTGACGAGTGACGTCACGACGTTTCCCATAATATGACGTTTCCCTTAATGCGACAGTGACGTTTCCCTGAATCGAGAGTATCACGTGCTTTGTCAAAGTGTTAACTCTGACGCTGTCTCGTTCTACCGCCTTGCTCCTGCTGTCCTATTTCCTGGTACCGGCAGAACTTAGACAGAATGGAGCTTCCAGATGTGAGAACTATATTTCCTTTCTCCGGACAAGCGGTGAGCGAGAATACCACAATATATATATATATATCTTTCACAGATGGTTTAGCACGGTATATCGCAAAATCGAAATACCTCAAATGAGGAGGAAAAGGAGGAGAGTAAAGGGAGAGGAGGAGAGGCATATCCTCCTCTCCATACCCTCCCCTCCTTCTCCTTAAGAGCTGCGCTCTAATTCGGCGTAACAGGGAGTAGTAAACGTCTTTCATTTTTCTTGCTTCCGATCACCCAACGTTAACAAAAGACTGGGCCATCATGACTTTCATCTCTGAAGACATTTTCAATTCTTTTTTCGACGCGAAGACGCGAAGACGCATGAAGGCTTAACGTTTAGCGGTAGACTGCTCCAATCCAATGTAAACAGCTCAAGGTTAGTTTTTTTTTTAGCTCTTACTGGCGAAAGTTTTATTTGGTGATAAGCTCAGAGGTCGTTTCAAGGAAACTGTGCCGTGGGCATATTTTCCAGGCATTGCAAAGAGCTCAAATCGCTTTCAGATAGCTTTTACCTTAATCACTGTTGATGAATGTCACGCCGGTCAATGAAGGTTTGTTAAACCCTGGCAAAATGACAGCATTGACCTTCCCAAAACTACCCTCTGAGTGTCTTTGCACTAAACAAAATGTTTACCTCAATTGCAACAAAAAAGAAAAAAAAAAAACGAAAAAAAAAAAAAACGAGGCGGTGAAATTAAGTTGGAATCGCTAGTGTTGCTTCACCCCAAGTCTGCAGTGCAGCGTAGCTTTTTGCTGGCGCCGGCGTCGAAGTCTTGGCCACTGCAATAAACTTAGCAAGTGACGTAATCGAACGTAGAATTCGACGAAAATAATACCAAAGTCCAGTCTCTTTGAGATTTGAGGGAAGCAGACACGTAGCCCGTGTCTGTTTTATTTTGTATTCTGCCTGACCTCGCTTTAAATCTTCAACAATATTTTATCAACAAGTCCCCCAACTCACAAACCTCGTTTGCCGACGCGAGATCAAGTGTATAGAAATCGATGCCAAGCAATGTAGTGTTCGCAATCTAGCCGCCCGAGACGAGGGCCGCGAAAGCGGAGGCGGCCGAGGGCTGCGCTGAGCGGCTTAAGAAGAGAGACAACACGCCGGGTTGGAGGTAACGCAAAAAAACATTTCTTTTTCGAGACCTTTCCTTTTATATGCATACAAGCCAAACCAGAGGGTGCTAGTGTTCAGCTAGCATCACCCTCTATATCTACCCTTTTGGACGAAAGTATAGGATGCCAAAGACCTTTCAGACGCCCTGATGCTGTGTAAACAAGTCTTTCCAAGGCACCAGGTCACAAGTTCAGGCGCATTGGTGGATTGACGACACACCCGGACCTTGTGTGTACAATTGCTGCGGACCGTCTAGACTAGAAAAAGCCGGGGCAGCTTGTTGTGCCTCTGGTGTCGCAGAAGGAGTAGGCGCTGTTGACGTTGGGGTAGAAAACCCTGACTCCGGGCGAGCCAGGGGTGCAACTGGGCTTCGAGACTGCAGGCTGCCCGAGTCACGATTATCTTGGGACAGCATCTGTTGAGGCAACAGATGTCTTCGGTTGGGAACCAGCGTACCCGACGGGGTCTGGGCTGGGTAAGAGCGTGGCCGTTGTGCTGGGCTGAGGACCGTACTGTGCAGCCTGCGTCATGGACTCAGACCTTCTTTCTTTGCTAAGGGTACGTATCATGGGCGGCGTGACGATGATTGAAGTCCTGTCGCTGGCGTAGTCGTTGAGCTGCGTCACGTCTTTGGAACTCTGCAACACGAGGACAGTCTCGAACAAGCTTGGCAGCAAAGACGTAGAGGGTGTTCTAACTGAACACTAGCGTCCTCTGGTTACGCTTGTATGCCTACAAAAGGCAAGGTATTGAATGAGAAAGGGCCTTTTGCGTCACTTCCTACTTGGAGTGTTGTCTCTCTGCTTACGCCCCTGAACGCTGCGCTCGGCCGCCTCAGTTCCCACGGTCCTAGTATCGGGCGGCTGAGTCCCGAACATCACAAGCAATGAGGTTGTTTTCTGACTGCCCAAAGAAATCCTTTTTTTAATATATGGTATCTAATGAGGTGCTTTGTGGTGTTTTCTGCTTTTGTTGTTCACTGTTAACCATACGCGTCCTCAGTGAGGGTTCGTTTGTGTGGATTATTAAAACGGTAACATATTTTCTTGTTTCACAACGTTGGTATTGTCCGCATACATTGAGCTGCTTTCGCATCACGAAATACAGAGGCCAATACAACATCACGCATAAAAAAATTAAAAAAATTCAAAAACAAATTTGGTAAAATGTTGGGAAAATATTAGGGCCCAGTACAGTTGTAAATAGGTTCGCTCCGTGCGATAACGTCCACAAGGCTTTTTTTTAACTTCGTCTCCGATTGCTTTTTGTCGAAAGATACGCGTGAAGAAACAAGTAATACTTTGAAAAATGATCACACTTGCGTTTATGTTGCGCAAATATCGAAGATATATTCCTGCTCCAGCAGCCGCACGGAGCAACCTCTTGACATCGCACCTCTCGCACGAAGCTCGATCGCTTGTTGACATGGGGTTTGTGTTGGTTGGATCACTGGTTTTGTTTTCTCGCCGCCAACAAGATGACTGACGTAGTTTTCAGCGCGCTACTAGATGGCATTCTATATTTCGCGTATTTTCTATTGGGCTAGCAATAATCGGCCAATGTAATAAGCAGCATAACTCGATTGCTCAAATATACTCTAATGCTACAATTCATAATAATGAGCCGTAGGTTTTATTAGCTTCATTACTGCTTCTCTCTACCTTGATAATCGATATAATTTTTATATGGCATTTCTTTTTTTATCAAAATCGATATTTCCATTGCCTGGAAAATCCAGGACAGTATCAAAAAAAGGCTGAGTTCAGGTACAGATATTTTTTCGTTTTAATATCAAGATATTTAAAAAAGAACTTGAAAAAGCAAGTTTGCGTTAGAATGCAACAATTATTTAGAAAATTCAATACCTACGTAAGTAATTAATATTGGGGCTATAACAGTTATACAAACGCTATGCAGCATTCAGTCGATTGCGTTACTCAACTACCTGAATCACGCAAAAAGCACGAAAACATAAATCCGCCCTAAAAATGCGCAGAACAGGAAGCATTGTAAACACTCGCCCTGCAATAAACCAGATAGTAGAAAATTAAGAAAACAGAACCAACTCCTTGAATCATGTGCCTGCATGTTTTGTGGGCTCCGGGGGACCTTTATAGCCTTTAGTTTCTTTCGTCTTAGATGATGTATTTCAGCACTCACGAAAACCATGATTCACCGGGCTCAGAAGTTTCTTTGCGACAAATTTTTACCTTTTTTTCTCAATGTATAGAAATGATACAAAATGTCCATGTTACCTGCGGAATGACGGTGATAGCAGACCTGAGCCTTCGTAGGGGGATTCGGGAGATGTCGATGCCGTCTATCTTTATACATCCTTGCGTGGCCTTGAGCACTCGAAGCAGGGCGAGGACCAACGAAGATTTGCCAGCCCCGGTTCGACCCACGACGCCCACCTAAATATGGAGAGAGCATAGTTGACTTGGAGACCGTCATTGTTTAATAAAATTGCAGGCTGGTCAACGCGGAAAGGTTTAATTTTACAACAAATATGTAGCTCCATAGAAAAGAAGAAATACACATCACTATAGATATCTAAAATGCACAAAGCATTCTTGTTGTCTCTTCGCGTCATTTACGTGCTCCCAAAAAGTATGTGTTCGGATGACTGAGCTGTAAGAAAAAAAACCTAAGCTCAAAATTGACAAAATTTGACACACATCGAATGTGATACCCAAACTCAAGATATGGAGCTACATACAGATGTGAGTACTGTTGCATTTGTGGGGTTTAGAGCCAGTAGCTCCAGACGGAAGCTATAAGAAATGCTATCTGCTTGACGGTATTCTGCTAACGAAACTATATAATGCAGCATGGTGACTCAAATCTGCCGCAACATGGGATTAAGGTCAGAACGATAACGTAAGAGCTCGCCGTTGCGAGGGTTGCGCCATTAAAAAGTTTAGTTCAGCGCGTTTGCAATTTCTACAGGCGTGCGTATTAGGAAAGCCTCTATCCTGTTTTATTAGTTTTCAATTCAGAATCAACGCTTTGCAAGGTGGATACATTTTGGTCTTAATATTTATTAGTCTAGCAAATATTTTTAGAGTAGTTTTATTTTATTTAAACTATGATAGCTAGGAAAAGTGATTATATATGAATATGGAAATGTTTAAACATAAAAAAATGTATTCATAAATCCTTTCGATCACTGAAAATAATAAGGATTAAAAGATTACTGTGTATTTACATTGTTTAAGTAAGTTTAATTAACATTTCAATGGTTTCAACCCACTATAGTTGAAACAAACAAAACAAAAACAGCTTAAATACAGTTATTGAAAATTAACATTTTTGCTGTTACTTTGGTCTTCTGATTTCTTTGCTAAAGGTCATTACCTTTATTCTCTTTGTATCGTTCTTTCGTGTGTTTATTTGCTTGCATTAGCTACTGTACGTTGCTGACAAACGAAGTGAAACTTAAAACAAAGCTGAGCGCTTTGATTTGTTAAGTAGGGTTCCTCTCGCTGAACCTGAATTATTCTGTTTTGCTTGAGTTATTTGTTCATGTAAGACAAGTGTACAAAGCTTCTATACAAAATCGGGGGTCTCCGAACCACGGCCCGCAGGACAGATACGGCCTTTGAAGGCGTGCTGGCCGATCCGCCGAAGGCCGCGGCCTTTCCATTGAAGCCTGGCCCGCGGATTGCTGCTACAAACGCAAACTTATAGGCGCTCGTAAAAAAAAAAATCAGTGCCGAGACACGCACCAAAGCGAAAACGGAGGTATCAGAAAAATGAGAGAAGACTACAGTGTTGTGCTAATATTCGAATTTTCGAATAGATGTTCGAATAGTTCGCTATTCGACATTCGCTTCGAGATGAACTCAGATATTCGCATATATCGAAGTGTTCAGCAAGATGGGCAACCGTTGCTGAGCGCGCTTCTTACCGAGCACCGGTGCACTGCGGAGAAGCAACCCGGTGCCTGGTTGGAAGCGCGCTTGACGGGGCTAACCCGCCGCGATACACACTTCAATAAGTACAACTGTTGCGGTTACGTTCTTCAGAAGAAAGGCCACTTTCAAAGCGGTATGGGCAAGCGCGCGCGTGGTGTGCGTAAAAAGAAACGGAACTTTATGAATGTTGATATCTAGACTGGAGCAAAGATTTAAAACTTCAACCGTGGCACTTATGCAAAGATTACGTGTTTGGTAGAGATGTCCTGAGAACCTTCCTTCATCATTCATGATTGTCGTTATATTTTTTAATTCTATATCTAATGAAAGTTATTTGCATATTCAAGGTGATTTACAAAACCCCACGGTTAGGTAAATCTTGTCATCTCTAAAGTTTTAATTTTACGTCAAATGCATCGCTTACTTGTCTTCTTATCTAGGCAATAGGTTTTTTGAGTCACTGTCTATAAATATAGCTAGATTACAATTACTTAGCGTAGACATGAAGAGGTGAAAGCTTGGAAACACTCTTCACGAGTTCAGATGAGTTTTCGTTTAGACGTGGTGCGGTGGTCAAAAGCCTGCAGAGCATTGGATATTGGATTCCAAATTATTTGGCACAAATCACTATGCGCTTCGAATTCGCTTCAAAGTCAAGATCCACTATTCGCACATGCCTAGAAAACTGCATCAACACGCGGGTTCTCAAAGCATATTATTTATTGTGCCTTGTTATCATCACAGTTACTATTCGTGGTTCCCTGCTTCAACTTCAACTGCGCAACTATGAAAAAATGCTTTGCTTTCTCATGAGTATCGTACATAGTGACGTGATTTGATCTACCATTTTCCCTAGTCTTCTGCCTTGTGTGAATATGTCAAAGTACCTATGCGCTTTCGTCTACGCCTGGTGAGTTCTCGGATCACAATTCTTTTGTAATATCATAAATAGTAAAATATTTCACTTAAAAATAATATATATGTATTTTTCCACCTTTGTTTAATTCCGAATTGTTTTCTAGTTCATATTTCTCTATTTATTTATGCTTACTTGTTTAGTATTTCCTCGTAGTTATTGTCTTAGCTAATTTCCGGTCCTCGAGGCTGCGACAGGTCCCCAAAACCGTCCGCCTAGCCAAAATGTTTGGAGACCCCTGATTTTTGTCATCATAGTAAACTCAATCTGTTTGAAATCACAATTGAGGCAATGATTAAAATCATGCTTTAAATCATCTTGATTTTTATTCTCCACCCTTACGCGCGGTCATAGTTTCTAGGAGGAACAATGCTTAGTAACCCATCGCTCGACACTTTGTTGAACTGTAATGAAATTATCCGTGCGATACTGAACGCTTCATCATAACAACCAAAGCGTCTGCGGCTGATAGTTTAATGGAAGACTTTTATTGAAGGCAAATAGCAACCAACCTTTTCATGCGCCTCAACAGAAAATGTGACCCCTTTTAGCACATCTGACAGATCTCCCGGTCTATAGGACGTTGAGTAGTTCTGAAATTCCACTCGACCTTCCGTAGGCCAGCTCTCGTTTGCGGACAGAGCTATTGATGCATAAAAGCTTTGCTTATGTTGACTTGAATCGCCTTTCTTTTTTGGCATGACGACTTGTTCCTGCAAAGTTCACATATTTTTGGTTCACTCGTATCACACCTATATGTATATAATCCCCAAACTCGGTGTTCTATTGTAACAAAGGACATTCCATACACCTTCAAAATTTGCTGACTTTCGACGCCACACTGACTTCACGCACAAACGGGTCCTCAGTAGTTAAAAGAACATGTTACGGCGATCGTGACAAGACTTGAAGAAATAAAGCGAGCGGCTAAATGATCATCGGGAAATGCTATTTTTATGAGTACAAATCTTACGCTGGCATCACCTGATGTTACAAATACTAAAAACATTTTAAATAACATACTAGCTACTTGAATATTAGAGACATATGTATGAGGATTTGTAAAAAAATAAAAAAAGGAACGCTGATGCGTGCTGGCACTCACTACAGCAGAATCACCCGAGCTCCAACATGAACCGAGCACTTGATTTTTGTTTCTACTTTTTTTGAATGCGGAAACATTAACTGTCCCATGAAGCGCAATGGCGTTGATTGTGACCACGAAAAACGAGGAACTATTTCGCATTAAAAGAGAGGCTGACTCGCGATCGGCAGCCGCGCAGCCGGCGTTGTTTGTGATCGCGCAAATCGAGCAACTAAAGAGCAACTATACCCCTTTCCAAAAAAACGCTCCTAGGCCGCCGCCATGTGACTGATGCTGAGGCGGCTGGTGCGACTCTCGCGCCCTCTATCAGCTATAAATTTTCTGACACTCTCTTGGACTGCGAAAATCCGTTCAGTGCGATTCTGCGCTGAGCGTACCCTACAGCTCTTCGTAAGATTTTCGTTATGTAATCAGCTGGTAAACTGTCGGATTCGAATTTGGAGTCACGACTGAGAAGGGTTCGTGTGATAGTTTAGGGGTTAAAAGCGCTAAAAACGACAGACGAGTAGGAGAGACCACACCACAGAGCGCTCTGTGGTGTGTGTCTCTCCTACTCATCCGTCGTTTTTAGCGCTTTTAACTCCTAAACATGTTCAACCAACTAGCCCAAATCCAACCCTTCGTATGATAGCTTTTCTATCAAGAACATTATTTTTTCATCTTCACTCATGTGATTAGAGGCATGTCGCGCCGCAAGCGAGGAATAGCTTCAAAGCAGGCGGTTGAGCACTGAGTTGCGGTTTCGTACGGGCAAGGAATTTCATAGTTTGCCCTTTGTTTTTGACGTTCGCGCTTAGCGAACTCTTATACGAGACATCTGGAACCCATTCATGGCACTGATTTCTAGTTTGTGATCATACAGCCACCTTGTGGTGGTATCGCTCACCAAAAGTACCAAATTCGTAAGCTTGAAGGTATCTCTTCACCCAGGAGGTTTGAAACAGTCGTTGACTGTCTCAGTTTCTCTCACTCCACTCTGGACTGGCGTGCCTCACTGACCATCTTCTACGGGCGAAGCGACGGGCAAGCGAAACTCATCGATATTTCTGTTCTCGTGGACATTGTGCCGTGGATAGAAGATCCGCTGCGCAGCTTCATCAATACATTTCGAACAGCTAGCAGCAGAGAAGTTAGGAACCGGCCTGAGCTCCAGCACTTGTGTGGGTGATCATGACATCTACATCTGGTTGTGGTCTCATAGAAAACAGGACAGAATAAATTATTTTTTCCCCGAAGCTGGCTGTCATCGTGTTCTTAACAACATATTAGGGATATAATGATTTCTCTTAAGAAGAAAGGAAGCTTCATCGAATGATATTATGAAAATTTAAATCTTTATACGATTTTAATATAAACTCATCGCGGAACGAAAGGCGCAATCTAGACCTTAATTTTAGCTGTCTGCGTCCGCGCTATCAGAGTTCTTCTAGAATGTATCATAGTTATGTTGGCACTCTAAAATACTTTGAAGTCTTACAAACTTACGCAGTTTGTATTGGAAATTTATCAATATTTAATATGTAAGAGGCCTCATTTGAATAAGATCTCTCGTGGCAGATCAACTGGGCAAGCCCACAAAGGTTCCTAATTTGATCATTTACATTTCAAAATAAAAATACTCCTTACCTAACGAAAAATGAGAATAGCTTGAGACGGCATTGGAAGTACAGGCTCTCAATATTTTTATGGGTGGTTTTATTTTAGTTTGACCAAACTGGCCACGGTGTGATCACGGGCGAGCTAATAGACGCGAAGTGCCTTATTTCAGTTAGGGATGCTGTTTGGGGTTACACCTAATATCGTGAGCCTGTTTATATATAAAAGAAATATAGGTCATTGTAAAATATAAATTTTCTTTGTTGCAACATCTGTTATTCCTGAGCCGACCCATAACGTTGCGGTGAAGCCCGTATTGCCCGTATTCTCTCCCCGAAGATTGCGAGTCGAGTTAAAAGGTGGCTTATTCAAATTTTTCCGAGATTTAAATTAACCAAGATCAACCATTCTTTGTATAAAGAGATTGTGTATCTTAGAAACCATCCACAAAAAAAAAAAAAAAGAACTTTGAAAAAAAATGAATACTGGGTTGCTAAAAAAAAATCGACTAAACAAAAAAACTTAAAATATCAGGTTCGTCCAAAGCTTGGAGTAGAAAGAAGGCCTATTTAGATTGTCGTCTCATACAGCAAAGCAATTTCAAATAACACTTTAATCTGGGGAATTGTGACGACATAACAACAGCACATTTTTTTAGCTTGTCTTTTTTTAACTGACTTACTTTTTTTTTGTTAGGCAAGTTTTGCGCAGGGCATAATTAATTTTATAAACCGCAGCGGCACGAACAATTTATATTTAAATAGCTCATTCTTACCGGTTCAGTTCTTACGATAGTTTGACACTGAGGCAAAATTGCTCGTGATTGCAAGTTTGAGGTTTTGTAAAACAGTAACCACAAAGGCTAGCGATAAAGCTTTCTAATAGTCCTTATTTTTATAGAAAAATATTAGCAGTGAGAACGTCCTAAACAATTAGTAAACAATGGCCAAACGTACACAGAAATAAAATCAAGATTTTGAATCACACTACCAAATAATACTTTGAAATGCAAAAAAAAAGTTTAAATTGTATTTTTTAAGTGGAGTGTTTGTTCACCCCAGAACTTGAAGTATCACGAACACTTATTTGAAAAAAAAAAAAAAAAAAAAGTTTGAACATCCCCCCGACAAGTTTCGTCGAATTCAAATAGAACCACACATGTAATTAAAAGACAAAAAATACCGATACTGACCTCTTCCGGCAGTTTTGTGTATTCGATGCAGCGCTCGAAGTTCACAAATATTTGGAACAAACTGAAGATGACTACGCAGAGAGACGTCAAGATCATTGGAATCTGGAAATTGTGAAAGATTCCGTACAATTGCGTTTTACAAATGAGTACTCGCGCGCATAAAGGCCCGTTCATACACTAGCTACCGAGTAGGACGTACAGAGACAAGACCTGTATTTAAGCGTATTGCGCCGGCGGAGGACCGGTTGTTCTGCTGCAGAGCAGATCCTCCGCCGTCACAAGATGCTTAAAAAGCGGTCTTGTCTATCTCCGTCCTACTCGGTTGCATATGTGTGAACAACGATTAATAGTAATTAACAACAGCACAACCCATAGTCTAAGAAGGGCATAACGTCGAAACTCAACGCCACCATAAGACTTGGTTTGCAAGCATTTGTCATTCAGCTTGTGGTTGCACGGTGCTCTGCTTATTAAAGATTGCCTAAGCGGAGAGGCATTTGTAGAAAAATAACGCACTTCTTAAAACTCGAATGGTTTTTTATTTACATAATCTGCACAATACGATGTCAATAACACATAAATCAATCCTCAATAACAAATAACAAACCGCATATATTATATTATATCTCAATGGTTGCGCGCAGCGTTGCGGAAGGCGCATAGAATGGCTGGTCCAGATAGACACAAGATGGGATCTGCGCTGCGTGCGGCTTACAGTATCATCATCATCTTCGAGGCAGGGATCCACTGTCAACTATATTATACAGTGCTATATGTATGTCGATGGCACTGCCACAACGGCACGAGCCATATTATTATTTGACAATAAAAAAACAAAACGCAATAGGGGAAAAAAAAGTCGGTCGTGTTATTTTTTGCGACTTAATAATATCTCTGCAGTTCGTAACAAAATGCTTAATCCGCCAACTCTGTCACCGTTTTTTTCTTTTCTTTCAATCCTTCGTATTGCAAAACAGCGCTTATTCCCGCCTACAGATTAATGCTATACTCTGGGGCTTTCACTGCGGGACCACGCGCAGCACCGTGGTTGTCGCACGTGTCCCCTTCAAACCCACCGACACATGAATATTCTTCGATGCGCGTAAACTCGGGTTTCTGCGCGAGCTCCGTTTCCGCATGCAGCTGCCACGGAGAAACACACTGGTTTATAATTTACTACCCTCCAGGTGGCGTAGCCTGCGGTGCCCGAAGAACGCCTTGTCACTCAACTCGCATTCATCTCGTCCGCCAGTTTTTTTGCCTAGTGGCCTTAGAATAGCCCCATGTAAAAAGTAAGCGCCGTTTTGAAGCTCCGGGAGCAGATTTGCCGAGTCCGTCCATGGGCTCCGAGATCTTTCGAGAGGTCTGCTCTGACTGGTCCAAACGCTCGGCTGCCCAGCAGAAAAAGCGAGCAGAGCCTGTTTTCTAGATATCCGCATGTGGCGCGTATAGCCAAACCAGAAACAGAAACCGGGTCACTTCATGAGAACACTGTCAACTGTAAGCTCGCGGCATGAAGCTTGAATTTTCATTGTTCTCATAATTAGAATTAAGGAATGAGAGTCGATCTATGTTGGTTCGTAATTTTATAATCGCTGATCCGCTCTTTGTGCTGTTTCTCTGGACTATACCTTACAATGCAAGATCTAGTGCGTATCTATGTTTGTCCTCTGCGGACACTGTTTGGGCCGCGGGAGAGTCATAGAAATATTTGTCACTTCACTAACGCACACCGATATACGTTCAACAACTTTTGCGCTTTGAAAAAATAAACCTTCAAATTTCGATCAACCTCTTCCTCGCCAAAAATCTGTGTGTTGCGGCGAGAGGCGTGGGACACACTTAGATAGATAGATAGTCTATTTAGTGCCGGTCAACAGCCGTGAGGCCTACAGGACAGTACACTTTGTCATGTTTCGCACAGTGGCGTTAACAATAAAAAGGGTATTACATAGGACAGTGGGGTTGCCGAGGAGCACAATAGAAATCAGTCTGACGCGTCATCAAATCCTAGTTAAAAATAAAAGTGGTTGCCACGGGCACACTAAGATAAAGTCAGGTGAATATGTCATCTTGTAAAAACATTGAATTGTATGTATCTTGTAACCGAGTCATTGGACACTTTGAATGAATATCCGTATAAAATGTTTGAATACATTTACACGCCTTCCCAGATGGGACACGGAAGCACAATGATGACAACAACTCGTCGCAATCAAGAGTGCCATGCACAACTTTTCACAAAAAGTTCATATCATGTGCAAGCCTCCTGTCGTGAAGAGACTGGAGGCCTATGTCTGCTAATACCGAGCTATAGCTGTAAAAACGCCGACGACCAATGTGCCTATCGTATACAATGCGAATAAATTTCCGCTGTACCTCTTCGATTACATTGCTGTAGCCGAGAGAAAGAGTTCCATATTACATATGCGAACTCTAAACGCGGCCGGACAAGTGAACAATATAAAGAGAGAACACAATGAGGGCTTCTAAATTTTCTAGTTATCCGTGACACCGCACCAAGACATCGCAGGCCTTGATTAACTATCTGTGACACGTGTTGATGAAAAAACAGCCTGGAGTCCACTTGAACACCAAGATCCCGTACAAGAGATACACGCTTTATTTGCCCTCCGGAAAGGTTGTAGCTGAACAATGCTCTCGTGTTTCCTGCTGATTGACATGACTGAAGTCTTCTTGAGATTAAGTTGTAGTCTATTTGTTATGCACCACTGCTCAATTGAACTTACGTCGTTTTGTAACAACAGACAATCCTGTACGTTCTCTACCCTCCTGAACAGCTTCAAGTCATCTGCGTACAATAATGCTTTGGAGTGCAGCACCTGCGACGGCAAGTCGTTGATGAGCACTAAAAATAACAACGGCCCAAGGTTAGAGCCCTGGGGCACGCCAGATAATGACAAAAACGGCTCGGACAAACAATCTGAGAAACTGACTTGATTCTGGCGGTTTCCCAGGTAGCTGGAAAACCATGAACAGTAAGTAGGGCATAAGCCATATTCTTTTAATTTTGACAAAAGTATGTTGTGCGAAACCCTGTCGAAAGCCTTTGACATGTCAAAATAAATTGTGTCTACTTGACCACGGTTGGCTACTAAAGGGCCGGTATATCCAAGGAAGACACTCATATTAGTCTCGATCGGTCTACCTTTCAGGAAGCCATGCTGTAATGGTGATATTTTTCGTTTAAAATAAAAATCGAGACGTTCATAAATAACCATTTCGAAAACTTTTGAAAAACCACACAACAGTGACACTGGGCGAAAGTTGTTGACATCGCAGGGGTCGCCAGATTTGAATATTGGTACGACCACAGACATTTTCCATCGAGAAGGAAACTCCGCGCGCCGTAGCGACAAATTGTACACATGAGTTAAAGCGGGAACAAGGTATTCAGCGCATCCCTTGATAATAAAATTTGGAATACCATCACAGCCTGTGGAAAGTTTTGACTTGAGCCTACGTACAGAAAGTAATACCTCATCTTCTGTTATACTTTCATAAGCTAAACCATCAAAACTTTCTTCGATGTTAAAAACCGGAGGCGTGCTATCCGACTGCAGAAAAGTGGAACTGAAATGCCGAGCGAACATCCCGGATACTTCTTGCGGTGTGCAACAAAGCTTGCCATCCGCTTTTAGCACCGATGCGCTGACACTGTCTTGTTCGCACGTAACGCCAAAAACGATGCGGTTGTCCTTTGAAGTCATGTTCCAGACGATCCTGGTAAAGCCTTTCGTCTTGAGCAAAAAGTTTTTTAACTATTGCTCTACAGATTGAGAATCTGTAGTACCAATACTCGCAATTTAGTTTCTTATGGAGATTATGGTAACGTCGCTTCTTGCTTATGTAATATTTCAAATCTACAGAAAACCAAATGGGGAATTTTGACCTTTTTGGGCAACTTTTGGGTATAAATTCATTCATAGCATCCTGGAGAATCGCGGTCAGCATGTCGGCGCAAGAGTCGACGTTCGTAATGCTGAAGAAGCCAGACCAGTCATGGCTGAGCAGACGACCGTATAACCCCTCGTAATCACCATAAGCATATCTGAACTTCGCCACTGGTTGTGTGTTGTGCACTTGGAATGACAGGAAAAAGTGTAGGGAAAACGGTGGGTGAAACTTGTCGACTGGCACAAGCGTGTCGCATGCCTGATCGATATCGAACACAGGAGCGTTTGTTCTTATCAAATCTAAAATGTTCCCGGACACATTTTTTATCGTATTATGCTGAAAGAGTTGATTGAAATTGATAAACTCAAATAGGCGTTGTGCCTTATCATGAGTGCCAGTACAGTCACTCTGGATTAAGTCAGCTGACCAATCGACCTTCGGAAGATTGAAGTCGCCATAAATATGTACCTTGTAGGAAAAGTCAACCTTGCTGTCAAGATCTGTGAAATGCTCTACAAAAACGCGAGTATCAGAATTAGGCGGGAAGTAGTAACAGCCAAGAAGGCAATTCGAGCCATCAGACGCTGGAACCTCAACCCAGACACACTCTTCATACGTTTCAAGGTCTCCCCTTCTGACCGCCCGAAATGAAGATTTACACGCTATGAGGACACCGCCTCCATTTTTAATCTTCTCTGTGTAACTCCGATCCTTCCTGAAAACGGAATACTGATTTGAGAAGTATGACTGATTGGTGCAGGAGGCATTTAACCAGGCTTCAGTCAAGCAGAGTACATCATATTCGGATTCGCAAACATTAGCAAAGAACGCCTCACTTTTCGTTCTGAGGCCCCTCGTGTTTTGGTAATAAAGGTTAGTTTTCCGCGACATCATTGGTAGTGGTTAGGGTGACGTCAGACTCCTCGAAAAACCGCGAGGGCGACAGGCTACCGTGAAAGGGACGGAAGACGCAGCCGGAAGGCCACACCTCGGGTTTGTTAACAATATCAAGCAGTCCTTCGTCTAGGGCAACGTGGAATGAATTGTACGAGTGATGCCTTGTCTTCAGTCCCGTACACGTCACCGTTCTGTCCCCAACGAGCCCCGCCAGCAGTTCCTGCACGTCGGACGCGCTGCTTAAAGCGGTATTCACGCGGGGGAGCAGTCCCCGCAGGGAGTTGCCT